TCAAATGTGGTTAAAGAGGGGAAGTTGAAAATAGCTCTATATCAAGGCACAGTGGTCAGGTTTACCTGTTGATCATGTTCCATCTCTAATACTCATGGAGAAGTACTGCAAGACACGAGAGAGAGCGAGCTAGCGAGCGAGGACTTGACCTTTGTCAAATATGGTTTAAGAGGGAAAATGAGAATGCTGTCTTTGCGCATTGATCATTTCTCAGTTTTCTGATCCAGAATGTCTGCAGTTGTTTGTAAATTTTTCTAGTTTCAGGTGGTAAAAGCTTCCTGCTCATTACGTTATGGCTGGGATCTGCTTTTGCAGGTATAGTCTTTATTTCTGTTTATTTCTCTCTTTTTGCTAGTTTTAATTTAATATTGTAATTCTCAATTTCTTTCTGTTTCTGTCTCTCTCTTTCTTTATGTTATTGCATTATATATTTCTATCGTATGTTAGAAGATATCTCATTCAAGAATCCTTTTCCTTCTAGCATTAAGTGCTGAGAGTGAATTGGGATTTTCGTTTTTCTTCTTCTGTAAGAAATTTAGAATGGTGCATGTATGGTTCATTGTCTGATGCTGTTTACAGAAATCTGGACTTAGATATATTATACGTGAGCAATCTATCTTGTGTTTTATGCGTAAAAGTTAGGCTGATTTAAAAGATGTATGTTAGACAATGATGTTTTTAATTTCAACCAGATAATATTAATGTTGATAATTATTAGATCACTCACTTTTTCTTTTTTAATAAATGATATTAATATTAAAGTTGACATTTCTTGATCAATTGTTGAATGAATTATATATTAGATGATATATAAGGATGCAATCTCGTGACAAAAGGTCGTAGTTCTTCAAATGACAAGTTTTTGCTTCATCTCACATTTCATACTTGCTATAGAAATTATGCGTTGAATTTTTTGCATATTTCATATTTTTCTTATCAAATATTCCAATGTATAACGACAGCTTCCTTTTATGCAGTTCTTTTACCAATTTCTCTTTATTATTTAATAACTAAAATCCCTGCTTTTTTGACATTCTCAGTTCTACAGATAATACTTGATGGTTGAGCATGCCCCTTAACAGGGCCTGCGGCACCCCATGAAGAGGACGAGCCTGCTGATGTATGCCTATGAATGACGAGCCTTGCAGCTGGCTAGCAAGATACAGAAAACTGGAAGGAAAATATGTAGGATTTCTTATTCACTGGTCCCTGTGCGGTTTGGGAGATCTTATTTATGGAAACGAGACATATATCCCTTATGCTGTACCCAATGGAATTTCATTTAGCGTCAAGGCGCGAGTTCACATTATTGCTCAATAACCCTCTTGCCGCTCCAGGCTTGGTACCAACTATTAGGATTAGAAGCTAGGTGATCAAGCTTCTATGTCCTTGGGCTTTATATGTTGAAAACACTGACTTTTCATTTGTTTTCTTTAATTAGTTGCTGAACCCTGATGTTCTTTTCATTGTTTTCCTCAGGAACTATGTGATATCTTCAGACGACTGTAAATTCAAGACCTGGGGATAGTGTAAGATTCTGTACCATAAAACTCAATTGGGATTTTAAATCCCAAGTTTAAGTTCGCAGCGACGTTCACATTGTTAGCAAAGGATAATTTGTGCGTCTAGCCGAGCTTAAAAGTAATTTTATTTTAGAACATGTTTGGTTATGTTATTTTTTTGTATGTATTTTGTAAATGTAGCTAAGCTTTTACTTGTCAAGTAGATGGATAAATTTTAATATAAATAAATATTTTGATCAAAATTTGGCATATATTATATATTTCGATAGTAGCAAGTTTCTTTACTTAAGTGCAAAGGACAGAAGTGAGGTAATTTCAGCCTTTTTGGCAGCCGCAATGTGAAGGTTCGATTCTTGAGATATGAAATTGGACTCTTTGTGGGGTACCAGTGTACAAGCAAGTTCTTATTCTCTGACCTGCTGGGACACATCCCGCGATTTATCTCTCTCACGATGCTTCAGGGGCGGTGCAGTGGGAGCCCTCAAGGTTGAGGTTCAACCTTTTTTTTTTTAAAAAAAAAAAAAGAGGTTTTCATCTTAAAGTAATTTTTTATTGACAAAATAAGTTACTACTTTCAAAATTTGATCAAAAAAATTAGGACTTATTAGGAAAAATGTAGTCTCTCTCTTGCAACAATCTTGGAAAAATTAGGATTGAGTTCAACCTTTCACATGGTGAGCTTATGTGTCTTCGACCTTTAAATGCGTGATTTGGATCGTGAACTTATCTAGATATGTAAATTTTGATCTCAACGTGACTAAAATTGGATGTAAAATCAGCTTGACTTTCAGATCAGTTGGAGAGAAAATGTAAAGCAGTTTGATAGTACTGCTCTTCAAACTTTTAAGTCACGTATTAAAGTGATTTAGATCATCACTTTTACGGATTAAGGATGTATAATGACGTTGCTACGTTAAAGGTTGAAAGCATTGTCCAATTTTCCCAACAGCCTTGTCAGGGCCATTATTGCTGGAATAAGAATAGCCACGCATCTCTTACTGATTTTGACACTACATTTACAAATTTATGGTTTGTTTTCTTCTCTCATCTTCATCCTTATCCAATTTCGACCTCAATTATGTGCTGGCTGCCGACCACTGGAAACAATTTCTTTATAAATTAATTTGAAGATGATTTTCTATGAATGTTTTCATAATAGTAACATCAGAGTGGATTACATGTGTGTGACGATTCGCTTTGCAAATGAGACAATGTCAGAAGGGCAACTTCTAGTAAAACACAGGTGTCGTGGAGTTACCCAACTTGTAAATCATGTCTGTTCGGACTATAGTGAATTGTAACAACTACTTTTGTGTCACATATAGCTCATTGAAGATCTACTTGTGAGACCATTGAATCAGTATTTGTCATTTCTTGAAGAATGATAGATCAAGCAACGAACTACGTAATGTTATAATTCATACAATCCAATGCTCGTCACTCCCTCGATTCTTGAAATGGTGCTACCAACTGAAATCCTGGATGCACCATAATTAGGATTGAAGTGAAGAAATTATAAGCGAGCACGAGGGAGGCAAAAGAGAATCACAAGATATAGATACAATACTTTTAGGACAATGTTATGTGTACATAATAGTATTACATCCCCCGCCCCCAGGGCACATCTCCAAGTGGTAAAAGGGGAGGGTGGAGAAATTCAGCTTTACTTGAGGCTGCCGCGTCAAGGGTTCGAATCCTGAAATATGGATTTGGCTCTTGGGTAAGTGCAAGTGTACAAGCAGCCTTCCACCCTGTATCCTTGAAGGCATAATCTGCGATTTACCTCCCTCACGATACTCCAGGACAGGGGCGGTGGGGGACCCTTAAGGTTGGGGTTTAACCTTTAATAGTATTACATCCCCCGTACAATAAAATATTTATGTGCCCCCTCATTGTGAGAGGGGTGTAGGTCATTGTGTATATCTCGTAGCAATATCCATACTTTTATGTGGCCAGAGTAATTGAAGTTAGGTCCCACTTGATTTGGACCACATTTGTGTTTTCTATAAATAACCAAGCATGTTCTTAATGTGCTTCGATTGCAATATAACAGTCATATGTAGGTCCTACATGATCATTATATCATCTTCAGTTCATGAACTAATCCAGATATATGAAGTTTGTCGAGTTACCAACATATTTACCACGGGTCATGACTGAAATCAACTATGCAACTCTTTCCAATCGAGTTGTTCATAGCTCTAGATCGATAAGTCAGGCTAAACTTTTATATGTATTCCATTTTTTCTTAATTTCAATTTTAGCTATCCATATTCTTCTTTGAAGTTAAAAAAAAGAAAAGAAAAGAAAAGAAAAAGAAATTGATTGCTTTTATACAGATCAGAAAAAGGAAAAAAGGTTCACGGAATTGTTTGTGGAGAAGCATCTTTTTCTTATTGTGGGAGGGGATAAGAAAAGTGGACATGACATTGGATCTTGTCATCTTGTGAACTACCATTTCCACCACTGATCCATCCTTCTATAAAGCTAATTTTGATGCCTATTAACAAAAATTGTAAAAAATAAATTTTGTCTTTCCGTTTTTTTTCATTTTTTTTTTGAGATTGTATGTTTAAATTTAAAAAAAAAAAAATATATATATATATATATAATATATTTCTAATATTCATACAAAATATTTAATTGAGAGAATGTGGTTTTAAAAATGATTTTTTAAAGAATGGTATGGGAACAGGACAAAGTAGTTTTTAAATTTTTCTAATAATTGTACAATCAATTTCTTAGTGAAATATTTATTCTTACAAAACTTAAAATAAGATTTTTATACAAATAAATTTAGAGTCAAGTTGAGTCATATTCCAAGATATTACTAGTTTGAATTTATGCGTGCATAGTTGATTGGCATTAGAGGTTGGCATTTTTTCCTAGAGCCAGTGGAATCGGATCAAAATCGAATGTTCAATTTTGGTTCCTTTATTAAATGGATCAATTTTGTGACCGTGTATCGAGAATCGATTGGTCCGATCTAGTTCTTGGTACTACTTTAAGAATCAATATTGAATTTAGTCTCTCTTGGTTGGAATATTGCATAAACAATTCTGCCATAGGGACAGGGTCAATGACAGAATTTTAACCCACATATGTACTTGACATTTTTTCATTGACAGTTAAAAAAAGAAAAAACTGACCATCAAAAACTGTCACTTCTTTCCCTAGAAAATTCCCCTATCATTAACCTTGTTTGTTCACCATTTTCCTTGCATAAATAATTAAATATGCGCCAAATAATTGAACACTAGACCATAAAATTATCACACGTCAGAATTCACCATCCATACACTTCTTCTTTCTTTTACAATAAAACTTAATGAATAATCAACATTTAAATCTAAATTATTATAGTCCCATTTGGCCCCCATTCTCTTTCATTTTTTCCCCTTATTTTCAACCACTCAATCTTTCATAAAATAATATTACATGTAAATTGAAAACGTTTAATTCTATTTCAACCATATATTCTTCAAAAAAATATTATTCCAAACATCAAAATTTGGAAAAAAAAAAAAATATATATATATATATATATGGGGACCAAATGGGGGCATAGATTTAATGCAACTCCAATAAGAGAAATTGTATTTTTAGTTCAATCTTTTGTAAGAACTTAAAATTTTCGTTGTTTTCAAAGTGGTTGATCATCAGAATCAAGATCTTCTCCTTAAAGATAATCTGATTATAAATACTGCATACATTAATATATATTGTTGTAAGAATTTTTTATCCAAATTTTACAGTTTATATTGTGTTTGATAATGTATTCTTGTTATGCTCTTATCAATTTATCTCAAGCCTTGGAGTATATTTTGTTTGTTGTCTTATTTAATTAACTCTATTTTATCTATTTTTAATCTAACAATTAGTTTAATACTTTATTTTCATAAATTTTTTAATACAAAGAATCAGATCGATATTTTTGGTTTCGGTTCAATCCTATAGTTATATGGAACCAATAATTTCATTTTTAAAATTTTTATTCGTACTCGATCCGGTTTGATTTCCTTTGAAATCAGACCGAATTGAACAAAAAATCGAACCGGAACTAAATCATGCTCACTTCTAATTGGTATGAGATTGTCCAATGTCGGTGGCCCATAATCTAATCCATATGTGGATCTAAGGCAAAAACATTTTAGTCATTGTCTAATAGTCAAAAACTGAGAAGATAAAGAGGAATTAATAAAAAGTCATTGATTCGACATATTACAAATTAATCACTATTTATGTTCTGCACGCATTAAACACGGATTGTGTTGAGCTTGACATGAACTCCTGTTTCACAATCATTATAATGGAATATTTTATTTTTTTTTTGAAAAAATGAGTTTTAAAATAGTAATTTTTCTAGAATATGTAATTAAAAAATAGGAAAAAGTATTGAAGTTTACGTGCAAAATGTTTTATTATGAAAATATTATTGAAAATGAGTTTGAGACAGTTTTAAATAATTTTTGTAACTTCTTATAAAAAGGGAAACAATATATTACTATGGATGGAATAATAAACTAATCCGAAAATACTGTACAAGAGAAGAAAATGACGTCATTTTTTGTACCTTTTTTTATTGTTTTCGGCTAAAACCATACCGTTTCCATTTTTTCACTCCTACGACCATTCCTTTGCTCTTCTTTTGACTTGATGGAGGCGAAAGAAAACCATCGAAAAAATCAAACAACGACTACACCGCATTTTCTTCATCCTTCTACGATTTGGGTCGGCACTCCTTCGTGTGGGCACTCCTTCTGCGATTTACTGCTTCTAGAAGCATTCGTTGAATTATTGTTTGCTGGGATTGTTCACTACTTCTATTGCTTTTATGGTGGCTTGACTTGTGCATTCACCAGTGGTAAATGATCTTGTTCTCCATTCATTTATTTATTTCATGTTTTCTTTTATAAAAAAATTGCTAATTAAGATAGAGGTTTTGGATATCATCTTGTTATTGTAGTTATAAATTGTTGATTGGAATATGAGTTGCAAAGAAACTCAGGAAGCCTTCTTTTACTAGAAATGAACTTTAAATTGTGGTTTTATGACAAAATTTCACGTTGTCATCTCTCATCTCTTGGTGTCTTAAATGGGGTTGTAGGAGAAAAGAAAGATAAATAGCGTGAAGAAATAGGGGAAAATAGATTTTGCGTAAACAAATAAAGAAAAAGTAGGGAAAGCAGAGAGGAAAAAAAGAAAAAAAATTACTAATAAAAAAAAAAGAAAATCTCTCCGCACTGCGCGA